CCCCACCTCCCTCCCCTTCCCTCCCCACAAATGTTTTGTTTATAAGATAAGATGAGATATGGTAAACTTTTTTGATCCACAATGGAATTTTCTTCCTGACTTGCCGTATTCACAACTTGCCACATTCACCTATTCAGAATTTTGCCGTCGTTCGCCAACCCTAAAACTTGCTGCATTCACCAACTCAAAAACTTGCTGCATTTACCAGCTCAGAAACAGCTTCGAGTTGTAAAACTTTGTGATGAGTGCAGACAAAATGAGTTACTTCTCAGATTCGAGACCTGTGGAACTAGATACATCATGCTTATAGTTGAAGTTTATACATTTTATAAGTTTGAAATAATAATTGACATATTATACTTGATTAAAGAATATGGCGTCAATAGAAAATCCTTCAAGTTGACACTATTAGTGTCGATTTTTGGCCAATATCTCCATTTGTTGATTGCGATAAGTAACTCATTTTATCAGCACGCCTCACATTTCCTGTCCCCATTCAACTTTTCCTCCTCCTCTTTGTCCAGGCACGTCGATGAAGCAGGACGACCCCCGGTTTATCTCCGCCTGGTGGCTCAGTTTTCTCGTGTTCGGCATCCTGACCATCATCGTGTCGGTGCCCATCACCTTCCTCCCTCGCTACCTCTTGCCCAGAGATATCCAACAAAAGTCGCTGGAGAACGCGATGGTCACTTTTGCTGTCGGGGAGAAAGCCAAGCCATGTCTGCCATCTTCAAGTGACGAGATTTTGTACAGGTGAGGTGAACATTTGAGGAGTCTACTAAAAAAACGGACATCCTCACGAACTGAAAGTCGTGGGGGTATAAATTTTGAACACTTGTTGACTCATAACTGTATTTCTGTTCAGCTGTTGGTTGATTATTGTTGTTAGATTTCCTATTCAACAAACATATAAAATAAACCACCAATCAAACAAATGTGAAGTTGTGAGTCCACAAGCTTTTAAAATTGACATCCTCTCAATTTCCAGTTCGTGACTATGCCTGTTTTTTCAGTGGATTCCTTATTTTGTTGTTGTTGTACTAAAGAGAAAAAGAAAGCAAAGAGGAAAAACAAGAATTACTTTCTTAGAGTACGTGAACAGAGGGATGCTGGGAAAAGATTGGAAAAAAATGAACTCCCTATTCCACCCCCATCCCGTTCCCTTTCCCTACCTCTG